TTCTTCTTTATGGCAGCCCCTGAGATATTGGAATACTGCTATCATGTCCACCCTCGTCCTTCTCTTCGTTAAACTAGACATACCCAATTCTAGCAATCGTTCCTTATATGTTTTAGCCTCGAGTCCCCTAATCATCTTTGTTGCTCTTCTCTGTACTCTTTCTAGAGTCTCAACATCTTTTTTACATCGTGGTGACCAAAACTGGATGCAGTATTCCAAGTGTGGCCTTACCAAGGCATTGTAGAGTTTAATATTAACGTGATCTTGATTCTATCCCTCTGTTAATGCAGCCTAGCACTGTGTTGGCCTTTTTGGCAGCTGCAGCACACTGCTGGCTCATATTTAGGTGATTGTCTACTAGGACTCCGAGGTCCCTCTCACAGTTACTACTATTGAGCATGGTGCCACCTATGCTGTACTTGTACATTTGGTTTTTCTTGCCTAAATGTAGAACCTTGCTTTTTTCACCATTGAATTTCATTTTGTTAGTTAGTGCCCAGTGTTCAAGTCTGTCCAGATCCTTCTGTATCTTAAGCCTGTCTTCTGGAGTGTTGGCTATTCCTGCCAGCTTGGTGTCGTCTGCAAATTTGATGAGTTCCCCATCTATCCCTTTGTCCAAATCGTTGATGAAGATGTTGAAGAGCACTGGGCCCAAAACAGAGCCCTGGGGAACCCCACTACACACTTCCCTCCATATAGATGCAGTTCCATTGAGGACCACTTGCTGAGTACGGCCGGTCAACCAGCTACGGATCCATCTGGTGGTGATTCTGTCTACCCCACATTTTTCTATCTTATCAAGTAGTAGGTTGTGATCTACTTTATCAAATGATAACTGTTGTGTTTTCCAAATTTGCTGGCAAATTGAGTGTAGCACTTTTACTGCATCGTCTTTTAAGAATTTGAATAGTTCCGCTGTAATACTGTCACCTCCACTAGCTTTGTTGTTGCTCAGATTTCCTACGGCCCATTTCACTTCACATTCTAGTATGTCTGGCTCGAGGTCAGTGACCACCCCATCATGATTATCAGGGATGCTAAGCTCGTTCTTGTATAGTTCTTCTGTGTAATCTTGCCATCTCTTCTTAATCTCTTCTTCCTCAATTAGCTCCCTATCATTTTGGTCCTTTATCAAGATCCAGTGTATGTTTGCAATTTGATCTCTAGTTCCTCTGCCTCTTTGAAATCCTGCCTGTACTTCTGGAAGTTTTCGATCCACATAGTGCTGGAGTCTAGCTTGTAGGATTTTAAGCATAACTTTACTTGCATGTGAAATGAGTGCAATGGTACGATAGTTTGAACATTCTTTGGCATTGCCTTTATTTGGAATTGGAATGTAAACTGACCTTTTCCAATCCTGTGGCCACTATTGTGTTTCCCAAATTTGCTGGCAAATTGAGTGTAGCACTTTTACTGCATCGTCTGGAATACTGTTACCTCCACTAACTTTGTTGTTGCTCAGATTTCCTACGGCCCATTTCACTTCACATTCTAGGATGTCTGGCTCGAGGTCAGTGACCACCCCATCATGATTATCAGGGATGCTAAGCTTGTTCTTGTATAGTTCTTCTCTGTAATTTTGCCACCTCTTCTTAATCTCTTCTTCCTCTATTAGCTCCCTACCATTTTGGTCCTTTATCATGCCCATCTTTGCATGAAACGTTCCCTTCCTATCTCCAATTTTCTTGAAGAGATCTCTGGTCCACCCTATTCTATTGTTTTCTTCTATTTCTTTGCACTGTTCATTTAAGAGGGCATTCTTATCTCTTCTAGCTATTCTCTGGAATTCTGCATTCAGTTGGGTATATCTTTCCCTTTCTCCCTTGCCTTTCACTTCCCTTCTTTCCTCAGCTATTTGCAAAGCTTCCTCAGACAGCCATTTTGCTTTCTTGCATTTCTTTTTCTTTGGGATGGTTTTAGTTGTTACCTCTTGTACAATGTTGTGAACCTCCATCCATAGTTCTTCAGGTACTTTGTCTATCAGATCTAATTCCTTAAATCTATTTGTCACCTCTACTGTATATTCATCAGGGATATGATTTAGTTCATACCTGAGTAGCCTAGTGTTTTCCCCTACTTTCTTCAATTTAAGCCTAAATTTTGCAACGAGAAGCTCATGATCTGAGCCACAGTTAGCTCCTGGTCTTGTTTTTACTGACTGTATAGAGCTTCTCCATCTTTGGCTGCAGAGCACATAGTCAATCTGATTTCTGTGTTGACCATCTGGTGTTCTCCGTGTGTAGAGCTGTCTCTTGGGTTGTTGGAAAAGAGTGTTTGTTTATGACCATCGTATTCTCTTGACAAAATTCTATCAGCCTGTGCCCTGCTTCATTTTGTACTCCAAGGCCAAACTTGCCTGTTATTCCATTTATCTTTTGGCTTCCTACTTTAGCATTCCAATCCCCCATCATGATAAGGATATCATTTTTGGTGTTGATTCTATATGGTGCTGTAGGGCTTCATAGAACCAGTCAATTTCATCCTCTTCAGCACCAGTGACTGGGGCATAGACTTGGACTACTGTGATATTGAATGGTTTGCCTTGGATTCACACTGAGATCATTCTGTCATTTTGGGGATTGTATCCCAGTATTGCTTTTCCTACACTTTTATTGACTATGAAGGCTACTCCATTTCTTCTGAGGGATTCTTGCCTGCAGTAGTATACCTGATGGTTCTCTGAATTAAGTTCACCCATTCCTGTCCATTTTAGTTTGCTGATTCCTAAGATGTTGATGTTCAGTCTTGTCATCTCTTGTTTGACCACATTCAGCTTGCCTTGATTCATGGATCTTACATTCCAGGTTCCTAAGGAGAGTAGATCTTTACAGCATCTGACTTTTCTTTCACCACCAGATGCAGCCACAGTTGAGCGTCCTTTCGGCTTTGGCCCAGTCGCTTCACTCTTTCTGGCACTACTAGTACTAGCCCTCTGCTCTTCCCCAGTAGTATATTGGACACCTTCTGACCTGAGGGGCTCATATTCCAGCGTCATATCTTTTTACCTTTTGGTACTGTCCATGGGGTTTTCATAGCAAAGATACTGGAGTGGGTTGCCATTCCTTCTCCAGTGGATCACATTTTCTCAGAACTCTCTGCTATGCCCTGTCCATCTTGGGTGGCCATACACGGCATAGCTCATAGCTTCATTGAATTACACAGGCCCCTTCGCCATGACAAGGCAGTAATCCATGAAGGGGATATCATTTAGTGCTTCACACCAATTTGATGAGAAGCTATTGAAGTCTGAGCCAGCCGTAGATCTACTGAATCCTGAATACATTTGTTCATCCTGTCCGTTCTTCGGTAGCTTGCAAATCAGGATACAATGAAATACTTAGAAATGCTTTTCTGAAATCAAATTACTATGCAGGTATCTGATGGTCCTCAGCATTCCCACAAGGATTAAATATCAAGTATTGGTATGGCAAGAATCATTCTTGAAAAATTCATGTTCTTTTATTTAATTGGAAAAAAGAATGTAAGGAGAGCAAGGATAGATTACAAAGAGGAGGTGTGGCTTGCCATCTTCCCTGTTCATTTTCCAGCCTGCAACTGAAAGAATGAATTAGGTTCATTGGGTCTGACTCAGCTCCCCATCCCTGCACAAAATAATGGATAGAGTTAGATTTCCTAGCTGTTTTAAAGATATTGACTATATACTCAACCAACATTAATAATGGAAAAATCTGGGGCCCAGCAACTAACCTATCTCTAGATATGGTCTGAAGCTGTAACCCATAATTGATAAAAATTATATCTCCTTCCCCTTGCTTCCTTCCTTCCTTCCCTCCCTCTCTCTTTTCTTCCCCACTTTTATTCAAACAAAGTTAACTTGCAAATTGAGATGCATTTTAGGCACATTAGTCTTCATATATCCTCCTTCAAATACCATTCTACCTGATACTGTATATTTTTTTATTGTTATGGGGAAATTTGCCTACATTATTTTCACAGATGGAGGTATTTTTGTGTACCCTTTCCTTTGATATCTATTTGTCCATGTTGTTGGACTGTAGAAATATTACACTGAAAAACTGGGGATGAAGATGAAAGAGATAATTGGATTGTGGTTTACAGATTGGTTGGAAAGGGCAAAAGGAAATATGTATTAAAATGTGTAGGAGAAGGTGGGTGGGGCCAGCACAAAAAGATGGCATGGGATGAGAAAAATAATGTATAATTTGATTACATTGAAAATTAATTTATGTGAACACAGTTACTATGATTATTACTGATGTTTAATGTGTGGGTGTGGGTGTGTGTGATAGATAGATAGATAGATAGATAGATAGATAGATAGATAGATAGATAGATAGATAGATAGATAATTTGGCCAGATTCAAAATTACAATAGGAACAGATCATTCAATATTGCAGAGTCTACAAAAGGTTTGTTGTTGAGTAGTGTTGGTTGATAGTTTGAAGTTCCATTTTCCCAGCATCAAAGAACAATCAAGGGTATGACCGGAGGGATTTTTTCTGGAAAGCTATTCAAGATTCTAGAATGTATAATGGAAAGATTCTAAAATGTATAATGCAAAAAAAAATCCATGCTGTTTTATCATCATTGTTGAAACCTCTGGCAAAAAGAAGTACTTTCACAAACTTCTTGAAATATGTGGAAGTTGAAGACAATTCAGGAACTACTGTATTCTGGATTCCAAATGCACAAAGATTTAAAATAATTTTGAACAGAACAAGGAGAGAAATTGGTAATGAGCACAGGCCAATTAGTCAATGCAACAGATTTCTTCTTGACTTGAAGCCCTACAGGTAAGTTAGACCACAGTGCCCATCTTCTTTTGCCAGCACCCTCTAATGAAAATAAGACATCCTCATTTATGAAATTTGCCCTGAATTTTTATTTTGAGGAATGTCATTTATATATGGGCTGCTATTTCACAATTCTCCAAAATTGAGGTGTGTCGCTTCTCGGCCAGCTATTCAATTGGCTATTCCTCAAAGCCTTTGTGAGAATAAATGCTTCCTTTCAACCCTGCCCATGTCAAAAGCTGCTTGAAAGAGTTGCAGATCTGAGTTAGAAAGTGTTCTTTGGCTCTTTGCCATTGGAACATTTCTCACCTCCTCCTGCTGACTTTTGAAATTTATCAAGATGAGCAAGTATCTCCTCCTCGGTTTTTCTGTTCTGATCTTCTGCACTGTTGGTAAGTGCCAAGTTTTCCAAAAAAAAAAAAAAAAAAAAAGGAAAAGGAAAAGTGAAAGAGAAATATTCTGCTAGACTAAAGACATTTGCCTAGAGAAAGGGACTCAACAGTGTGTAATCCACCAGCTGTTCTGGGCTACAACTGCCAGATGATCTGATCTTCTAGAAATTGCAATCCAAAACAGCTGGAAGCAATCAGATGGCTTATTCCTGGGTTAAGTATTTCAGCATTGGGAAAAAAAATAATTTCTAATGCTTTACTTTATCTGTATTTTATCTGCCCCACCTGAATCTATCTGACAAGAGTTTCAGGCTGTGATGGTCTCAGATTTGCAAAACTGATCCATATTCTTTCTACACTGCAATCTGCAAAACACTGTGCTCTCTGTAGGGTTCCTGTGCACCAATTTTGTCAGATAAATCCAATAAAAATATAGCCTGTTTGGATAGAAAGGTAATAGCATGGGGTAAATTAACGTAGTTACCACTGGTGGGATTCCACAATATTTTAGATTGAATCAGACCATTTGTGGAAAGGAAGAAAGTCTGATGTGATGTTTCAGTAGTAAACATAGAAAGTCCCCTGGGTTAAATTCAGTTTTTGATGATCTAGATATGTCTTTCTTGGCAAGAATGTAAAGGATTTGCCCTTGCCTCTTAGAAGTTTTTCACCATTCAAACTAGTATATAGCCTGGGGTTTTCTTAAGTTCCCATCCAAGAACTAAATACTGTACAATCAATCCTGCTTGAGCACCTATATTTTTGTTTCATTTAAATTTTAGTTTTGCTGTTAGATGCCTTATATACAAATGAAGGAGCCATATAATATTCCTTTTTTAAATCTAGAAATAATATGCAGTTTATGCATGCGGATTAGTTTATGCACTTTATTCAGGAAAGCAAAATCTGGTTATGCCATCAGACTGTTGAGTGAGAGAAGAATTGTTTATGGGTATATGATTATATGGGGTTTTATGGATCCTTGGCATAAGCATATTTTGCTAATGTTGTGTACCATTTGTGGATTGTCTTGTTTGTTCTTATTCTGGTTTTAGTTATTTGAATCCTGTTAACTCATAGTAGAATTATAAGATATTCAAAGTTGGTAAATGATTGGAGCAGCATATAAGCCTAGTAGAATGAATGAATGAATGAATGAATTGCAGAAAAACTGAGCTATATATTGCAATGCAGGCTTATTGAGAAGTAAATCTCACCATATACAGTTACAGCTTTAGTTTATTATTAGTTTGCATAAACAAACATGAATAAAATAACCAAAACAAGGAATTAATTCCAGGTCCCTTAGACAAACATACTAATCCTATAGATTGATGTTACAAAACTTCACGCTATGAAAGAACTTGTTTATTTCAAATCACCATCATCAAACAGTTAAAAATAGTGAGGGGCACCTCAACTTTTTGGAGTTGGGTGGCAAACAAATGAAAAAAAATATTATACACATTAGCCTAAACTTAATTAAGTAAATGGAGCTTATATGCTTGCCCCATGCATTTCATTATGTTCTTTACCTCCATTTTAAAAAACACAATTTTGACAGCAATTTTTGGACAGGTTTTAAGAACTATTCCCAAGTCTTTTGGTATCTGTATTCAATTGTCCTTTGCTTTGTTCAGATATCCAGCTGAAAAATAGAATAGAATAGAATAGAATAGAATAGAATAGAATAGAATAGAATAGAATAGAATAGAATAGAATAGAATAGAATCTGGAAGGGACCTTGGCGATCTTTTAGTCCAGCCCCCTGGTCAAGCAGGAGAACCTATACCATTTCAGATAAGTGACTGTCTAATCTCTTCTTAAAAACGTCCAGTGATGGAGCACCCATGATTTCTGGTAGTAAGCTGTTCCCATGGTTAATTGTCCTCACTGTTAGGAAGTTTCTCCTTAATTCCAGGTTGCTTCTCTCTTTGATCAGTTTCCAACCATTGTTTTTTGTCCTGCCCTGTGATGCTTTGGAGACTAATTTGACTCCCTCTTCTTTGTGGCAGCCCCTCAAATACTGGAATACTGCTATAAGTGAACAGAGTGTCTCAAGTGGCTATGTAGAAAAAAGAAATTCAAGAGAGAGTCTTGCCATTCAATCTACACTTGCAAAAATTTCAGAATACTAGTGGGGTGTAGAAATCCGTCCTCTTGTACTTGGCTATGTTGGTCTTTGGTTGCTCTTTTCACTTTAATATATCCACTAAGAGTATTAAAGAAACTTGGCCAAAATTTCAATGGGAGCATATTTAATTATTTGCTTACTTCCTCACTTTATTTCTTTACTTTATGTATTTACAATGTCTTGGTAAGGCCACACTTGGAATACTGCATCCAGTTTTGGTTGCCAAGATGTAAAAAAGATGCTGAGACTCTAGAAAGAGTACAGAGAAGAGCAACAAAGATGATTAGGGGACTGGAGGCTAAAACATATGAGGAACGGTTGCTGGAATTGGGTATGTCTAGTTTAATGAAGAGAAGGACGAGGGGGGACATGATAGCAGTGTTCCAATATCTCAGGGGCTGCCACAAAGAAGAGGGAGTCAAGCTATTCTCCAAAGCGCCTGAGGGTAAGACAAGAAGCAACAGATGGAAACTAACCAAGGAGAGAAGCAACCTAGAACTAAGGAGAAACTTCCTGACAGTTAGAACAATTAACCAATGGAACAACCTGCCTCCAGAAGCGGTGAATGCTCCACCACTGGAGCATAATGCATAAGCATTGTAAATCAGCATCCAACATGTTTGGCATGCTCCAGAACTCAGATGGCCAAACTCACAGCTGCGAGGACCTTCTCCACTTCCTCAGGATAGACCAAAATGTCTGCCACATAACTGAGTTCAGTTGTGTCTTAGTCCATTCTAGTGGATCTGACCAGCTGGCATCTAACTTTGTCTGCTCAGTTTCTGCATTTTGTCCAGAATTATTGCAGTTTGGTGGGTCAAAGATACCTGGAGCTGGGGAATTAGCTCATATGGTAGAGTGCTTGCTTTGCATGCAAGAGGTGGTGGGATCAATACCCACATTCTCCAGTTGAATGTTTATTTTGCTTTATAATCAGATTATTTTCATCTCATTATTGCTGTCTCTTGTCCTGAGTTCTTGTAACACAGTTAATCAAGTCTGCCAGGCAGTTGTGGAATTAGCTCATATAGTAAAGCACTGGCTTGGCATGCAACCGATGACAAGAAGCAATGGATGGAAACTAATCAAGGAGAGAAGCAACCTAGAACTAAGGAGAAACTTCCTGACAGTTAGAACAATTAATCAGTGGAACAAACTGCCTCCAGAAGCAGTGAATGCTCCAATACTGGAAGTTTTTAAGAAGAGACTGGACAGCCATCTGTCCAAAATGGTGTAGGGTTTCCTGCCTGAGCAGGGGGTTGGACTCGATGACCTCCAAGATCCCTTCCAACTTTACAACAACAACAACAACAATAATAATAATAATAAATAAAAAAGTTGGAAGGGACGTTGGAGGTCATCGAGTCCAACCCCTGCTCAGGCAGGAAACTCTATACCATTTCGGACAAATGGCTGTCCAGTCTCTTCTTAAAAACTTCCATTCATCGCTTCTGGAGGCAGGCTGTTCCACTGGTTAATTGTTCTAACTGTCAGGAAATTTCTCCTTAGTTCTTACAACCATTTTTCTGGAAACTATCCCATACTGAACCGTGGTGAAAACTAGAGATGACTCAAACAATGTACCTGATTTTTCACTTTACACTTTCAACTCATATTTGGCAAGCTTTGGATTCCTCGTGTCCCACCAAAACGTGATAGAAAACAGCCACTCCCAAAAAGACTTGGGTGGAGAAAAGAAAGTCACTTGTTTTCCTTGCTGAGTTTTAATAACTTAATCTTCCTTTCATGGGAAGCGAAGTTGGATGCTTCTGCGGGGAACCACACCTTTGGCATTCCTAGAAATTTCCCAATTGGCCATGCTCTATCTGATAATAACTTTCTGGGCTCCATTCCAGCTTTCTCTTCTTTCCACCTTGTGCTGCTCCCAGCATGATTCCCATGCCAACTTTCTCAAGGTTCATGCAGGGATTTCAGCTGTGTGAAAGTAATTTCTTGGGATGAAGCTGGTCTATATACTGGCTATTGCCATTTACCACCCTGTGTCAAAAGCTGTACAAAAAAGGAACAAAACAAAGTCGTCATGACTTCATTACATGAAGTGGGGTGTTGTTGTTTTTTAAAAAAAAATTGTCAATTTTTAAGGTCGTATAATGGTTAGAATGCAGTATTGCAGGCAAACTCTGCCCACAGCCCAGAGTTTGATCCTGCTGGGGCTCAGGGTTGATTCAGACTTCCATCTTTCTGAGGTTGGTAAAATGGGAACCCAGATTGTTAGGGCATTATGCAAATAATACTGACATTGTAAACAACCCAGAGAGTGCTGGAAAACATTATGGGGTGATATATAAATCTAAATGCTATTGCTATTAAGAGGATTTTTAATGAATTATTATGCCTGGAGTCATAGTGTGTGAGTTGAGTGACTAAATAAATGTAATAAAAAAGATAAATAATAACAATAGCACTTAGCTATTGCTAAGCTGTATAGCACTCTGTAAGTGGTTTGCAGAGTCAGCCTATTGCCCCCAACAATTTGGGTCCTTATTTTATTGACCTTGAAAGGCTGAGTCAACCTTGAGCCAGTTAGGATCAAACTCCTGGCAGTGAGCAGTGAGTTAGCCTGCAATACTGCATTTTAACCACTGAGCCACCAGGCTCATATAAAATAAAATATTGATATGGCCTGAACTACTATGACGATCCATGACAGGCACTCAAGAAATGTGGATTGTTGAAAATTTGACATGAAGTGCACCATTGATTAGTTTTATATAGCCACCTATCTCACATACTCTGGATGCACAACAAAACAATCAAATAAATATAATTAAGATTAATTAAAACAGTTATAAAGAAGACTATGGGAGAATGGACCAACAGCCTTCATCTTGTGGGCATCCTACTTCCCTGAGATCCTATTGAAAGGACCTGGTTTTAAGAGATTTCCTAGATGGGAAATCTAGAGGGGAAAAAAAATCTTTTGGGGAAATTATATTCCAGATGGCAGATGCCAAGACAGAAAAGGTCCTGTCAGATGGAACACTTTGCAGCAAGCAGGATCCTGTACCATGCCTATTCTGCAGGATCTGATATATGAGCTTGTAATGGAGTAATAACAGGAATTATTAGAAGAATATCACTGATTTACATTAGAACTGAAGACCATTGAAAGGAAAATTTTACTTTTCATTTTCTTTAGCTGAAATCATGATCCATGTTTCCCTGCATGATACTAATAGCTGTTTTTCCATCCCTTGAACCTCATTAGTTTTTCATATCCAGCTGATGAAAAATTGAGATCACAGCTAGGGAGGGAAGAATTAAACCTCCAATACCTTGCAATTCTGATGAAAATCAAATTATTACACCTTCAAATAACCCCAAGGAACATCTCAGTCAGGGTGGACATTCACAAACTGTGTGAAGCCTTTCAGCTTTTTTTTTTTTTTTTAGGGCTATTTAAATATTGAAATGTTAAAATGTGGTCAAGCTTCTCCCAGGCATGGCACTAATTCCAGATGTTTCTGCTTATTTGGAAATAAGCTTATTCAACAGGATGCTCACTGACATGGTTTTACAAGATTAAAGCTTAAGGAGAACCAGTCATCATTTGGGTAATGGTGCCACAGATAGTCCTCGATTTAAGACTTATGGCCATTTGAACCTAAGATGGACCCAGAAGAAACTACTTACCATCTGGATGAATTGGTATAAAAGTTAAGCACCATTGCTATTAACAATCACCACAAAGTTCATGAAATCGGGTGTGGTCATGATGATCTGCTTACTACCTTAATTGGTTGTGGGCTCAATTATAGTTATAAATAGAGGACTACCTGTATGCCTTTATTCAGTGATGTACCCAGAGTTGTGTTCTAAGACTATACAAATCTAATAAATACATAAATAAATACATCTCAATTCTTTAAAAACCTTAGGGCTTTCATAGGTTTATTCTATTCTCTGTACATTCAAGAGGATTCATATTGCTTCCTCCCAATGTACACCAACCAAAAATTGCAGTGAAAAATTGAGAAGGGGAAAGAAAAGAGGAGGGGGAGGAGGAGGAATAGTTTTTTCAATAGTAGGAATGTGCTAGAGCAGGTTAGAGGCAAAAGCTTTCAATCAATCAAAGTCTTGTCAGTTTCAGGTAGCACGTCAATGAAGGGCACAATCAATTAATTAAGGTCATAGAACTGTGCTTGTTAACTTGCAATTAGTAATTATTATTAGCAGTTAGCTTCCCAACAGAGAAAAACTGCCAAGGAAGATACTCAACAAGTCAGACAATATAGGTCTGTCTTCAACTTAGAAGGACATGAGCCAGCAATGTGCAGCAGCAGCCAAAACAGCTAATACAATCCTGGGTTGTATAAACTGAGGCATAGAATCAAGATCATGACAAACATTAGTACCACTTTATAAACCCCTAGTGAGACCACACCTGGAATACTGCAACCAATTTTGGTCACTATACTACAAAAAAGACGTTGAGACTTGGAAAAAGTTTAGAGAAGAGCAGCTAAGATGATCCAAGGCCTGGAGACTAAAACATACGAAGAACAGCTGCAGGACTTGGGTTTGGCTAGTCTAAAGAAAAGAAGAACTAGCGGTGACATGATAGCAGTATTCCAGTATTTGAGAGGCTGCCACAAAGAAGAAGGGATCAAATTATTCTACAAAGCACCAGAGGGCAGGATAAGAAACAATGGTTGGAAATTAATCAAAGAGAGAAGCAACCTGGAATTAAGGAGAAAGTTCCTAACAGTGAGGAGAATTAACCAGTGGAACAGATTGCCTTCAGAAATTTTGGCTGCTCCATTACTGGAGGTTTTTAAGGAGGGATTGGATAGTCACTTGTCTGAAATGGTATAAGTTCTCCTACTTGAGCAGGGGGCTGGACTAGAAAACCTCCAAGGTCCCTTCCAGCTCTATTCTATTCTATTTAACTTACAACATTCATTTATCAACTGTTCAAAGTTATACCAGCCCTGAAATAAGTGACTTACAACCAATCCTCACTCTTACGATCGTTTCAGCAACTCCACAGTCACGTGATCAAAATTCAGGCACTCAGTAACCAACATATATTTATGAAGGTTGCAGCATCCTGGAGTCAGTCAATGGGAGAAGCTGGATTCACTTAGCAACCATGTGGTTCGTTTAACAACTGCAGTGATTTCCTTAACAACCATGGCAAAAAGGTTGAAAATTGGGCATGGCTCACTTAATAGCTGCCTTGCTTAGCAACAGAAATTGTGGTCCCAATTATGGTTGTAAGTCAAGGATCTGTGTTGGATTTTAAGGCTATGTTTACTGGATAGGTGTAACAGGATGCCTGGTAACTCTATTAAGAAGTATCACAATGGACCAGTAGGTGGCAGCCAAAGCATTCTTAGACATGTGGCAATTATGACAACTTACCCAACTGTTCCCACTTCTCTATTTAAACTGAACTAATTACTCTCTTGGTTTCTCTCTTTGCAGGTCAAGGTCTAATATGCAACGTATGCAACTTTAAAGTTGGCAGTGTTTGTCTTAGTTCTGATGATCCCTGCAGAACAAAGGAAGACCAGCAGTGTGAGACGACCAGAGTTTATAGAGGTACAGTTTGAGAGAGAGAGAGAGAGACAGACACAGAGAGCATTGGCACCTATTAAAAAACTTCAACACCTATGTTCTCGGGGACATTTTCAACTTCTTTGTAGGAGTCAAAGGTTTTCGTGGGTAGGATGATGTTGCAAATTAAGTGGCCATATCACTCATACATAAGCAAGAGGAAAAGATTTAAGTATTTGTTTTAAAAAATGATGAAATCTATTGTTGCATCACACTACTCTTATCAAGCATTTCCTTCCTAAAAATCTGAATTGTTGACATGAAAACTGTACTGACAACAATGCCTGGTTGTTGTCAACCTGGTTGGAGAAAATCTGAATAATGTTGGAAAGACAAATCTGGGTGAGAAGGACATGGATTGGGACAGCTGGAAATAAAGCTGCATATATTTACATCTCTAGTTTTATGTAAAACAAGACTATATTTCATTTTATTTCAATAAACATTCAAAATACTTGGGGTTAAATAGGAGCTACCAGGTTCTCTTAAAAACCTTCTTGTGCTACTTCTATAGTTTGGGCTTATAATAACCTACAAGCTGTTTATTGCCCATCCCTATTTTAGAGGAATACTTGAACTCTTTCAGTTGTCCAGCTCCTCAATCCGCTATGTTGAGACTAAAGTATGGAGTGGAAATAAAACGATAGACACATATAAATAAAATGAAAGAAACTCAGTTCTTGGTAACTACATGGGCATAAGGATGCCATTATCTTGGCAACAATATGAAAGTGCCCTGTCATTGCTTTCTTTGAGGATGTCCCAAAGATGTTTTTTCTTTTTTTATATATTTTTTTCTTTTTTCTTTTTCTCTTTACAAAAAAAAAATACAAAGTACATTTTTTCTTTTTTTCTTAACAATACTATGTCCTATATCTCTTATATTTATTTACGCTTATTTACATTTCTTCTCATACTTTTTTATTCCTCAGTTCTAACCAATTGTAATACCTGTCCCATATCTCATAAAATTCTGTAACTTCCTTGTCTTTTATTTGTAGAGTAAGTAAGATATATAAAAATATGAATCCGGACTGTTGGAAATGTAAAAATAGAACATTTTATCATATGTGGTGGCAATGCTCCAAAGCAAAGACTTATTGGGAGCAGATAAGGAAATGGATACAGGAAATAACAAAAGAACAAATTGAACTTAAACCCGAAATATTCCTATTAGGCATAATCAATCCAAAAATGGAAAAACAACTTCAATACATCATTATACACATAATAACTGCTGCCCACATTGCATATGCACAATGCTGGAAAAGGGAAAATATACCAACAAATGTAATGATTATTTACAAGATACTGGAATGTGCTGAGATGTACAAACTTACTCCAAACATGCTTTTTCAAAAGGCAACTGGACTTTGTTTTTTCTTGAAGAAAGAAAAAAAAAAACAAATTCAATTGCCTTTTGAAAAAGCACCTTTGTGGCAACCGTGACCTGGATGACTGAGAATCTCCAGAGACATTCTTTGAGGATGCTTTTCATCTTCTTAGAATTGCTTTCAGCCCTGGGATTCCTTGTTAGTATAGCATCTAAACTGTAGCCAGACCTAATTCTGCTTAGCTTCTGAATCCAGTTAAGATAACTCAAGAGGTGCCATCTGATAAAACTACCTGTAAGTAAAACAGATTTCAAAACCTGCAAATAATAACCCTATTGATATAAAACTTCTTTTCTAACTGATCATCTTGATTGCCTTATCATAGATCCTGTTTAAAAGTCTTATTTAAATTTGTTTTCCTCGCAATATTCAAAACATTCTTACTGGTTAAGATTTTCATTACATTTAACTGTTTGTCTTTTTCCTCATACAGGCCATCCCAACATATTAGAAATTTTAGATTATTAGAAAAATGTCTATATTTAATTGTTATTTATCCAAATAATAAGAATTGTATTACTTCAAGGATGGCAAAAGAGAACATTTTTGGAAGAAGAGAACATCAAGCAAAGCTATTATTATGTGGACTATAGAATTATAGAAACTAATTGTTAGTTATTGTTTTTAAACGTAAACCCAGACAACATGATATTTACCAAATGTGAAGGTGATTATGTAAAAAAATTAATAAAATATATTTAAAAAAAAAAACAAATTTCAAAACCTTCAGTTTCCAAATGCTACTTTTCACATAGGTTCCCCAAGATGGAGCAAGTGTCCTAGCTTTTAACATTTATTTTTCTTGTTTCTTTTCCCACCAGGCAGTATAACGTTCTTTACGAAACATGACTGCGGGAAAATGATTGAACTCTGCAACAAGACTGAACAGAGGGATAGTATTTTTGACATGAATTACAATCGCAGTTGTTGTACCTTTGACTTATGCAATGGAGATGTGATCAACCAGCCCAGCCTCACCCTCTTTACTGGCCTCAGCTTGGCACTTGGCTGGTGGCTTTCATGTTAACTTATAAATTGAAAAAAAAAACAAAAACAGCAGCAATAATGGAAGGCTACACTCTTCTCATTTTGAAGCAACCCTTGAACCCAAGATCCCAGTCCCTCATACACTCGGTTTATCCTTCAGGCCTAAGGAGATGAATTAAAAAAACTCAGCAATTGCATTCCCTCACCATCTTAATGTTGATTCAACCATTATCAAGAATTTTGTATGGTATATTTTCTTGTGTGAATCCAAATAATTTAATTTGTTAATGATTTAAGATACAGTGTAAAATTAGCCAAGTGAAATGTGTTAGGCAATACTATTTGTGGAACTGAGTTTCCCTCTCTCCAGTAATCTTTCAGTAAGGCATCTTGGACCTGGACCTGCTCTATGAAAATTAACTCAGGAGCTTTGAATGATGGCTTATCAAGCAGACACTATCCTTGTTGGTTTGTTTTTGTTTTTCATATCTATATGAGAAGACTAGGTCAGCCCTCAGTAGACCACAACACCAGGGGCTATGTTTGTTGTTTGTTTGTTATTTAATAAATGTTTGGCTTGGTAACCCAGAAGCACTGCCAGCCTTGACTAGTATCAATCGACAGAAGTGTTTCATATTTGTACATGTTGCTTTAATCTAGCCAAGTTTTGAAAATCCAACCATTGCCTGATAATCACCCCCTCTACTCAAGTAGATGATGAAACCCAAGAGATTAAGGGTGAATAATCATGGAATCTATGTATTCAGAAAGAGTGCTCTATGTCAATGGCCCTCAACCTTTTGGGCGCCAGGAACAGGTTCCGTGGACCGAGGGTTGGGGGCCCATGTTCTATGTCAGACATATCAAACACAAGGCCTGGGGGCTGGATGCAGTCCACGAAGTGGTTTCATGTGGCCCGCGAAGCCATCCTGGAAACAGTGAGGGAACAGCCCCCACTGCCTTGGCCCTGGCCCAGGCCAGCCGGGAGCCAATGTACAATTTTGTGGTGGCCATCTATGCTGAAACGCATTCAGTTTTAGTTCCACATGGCCGTCTGGAAACAGCGAGGAACCAGCCCCTGCCACGTCAGCCCCACCCCCTGGGTGCATGCTGAGGAAGTGTCACCCTTTGTGATGAATGAAGAAATGCACCATCGCCTGGAAGTGGCCAGCAAATGGCCCTTGCCTACTTCACATATCTGGCTTGATGGGCTCTGGCGGAGGGGTTTCAGCAGGCATTGAGGCTCCTCCAGTAAGCCACACCCACTCTGGCCACACCTACCTGGCCCCCTGAGGGCAACCGCAATGCTGATGTGGCCCTCAATGAAATTGAGTTTGACACCCCTGTTCTATGTACTCATCATGTGCATTTGTGCCACAAAAAATAAATATGGCTCAGTTTTCAATTCATCCTTAACTTTTCTTCCATCCCCAATGGCTAGAAAGACTATGTAAGAAGAGTCCGCATATCTCCTAGAACAGTGGTTCTCAACCTTTCTAATGCCGCGACCCCATAATACAGTTCCCCATGTTGTGCTGACCCCCCCAACCACTTATATATCACCGGGTGCCAGGGCCGTGGCCAAAGAAAAGGGGAAAAAATGGTGGACAGCCTTGTTTGGCGACCCCCATGAAATGGTCGTTCGACCCCAAATGGGGTCCCGACCCACAGGTTGAGAACCACTGTCCTAGAATGTGAACATTAAAAAATATCTCATATCTGCCCTTTTAAACACATTCCTGGGGGAGTCCAATAAACATCAAATAATATTTTCTGATGAATGAATTTTGTACTTTAATCATAAAAAATATATTTTACATTTCTTAAGACTTGGACCCATTGATTTCCCAGATGGGATATTCTAGTTTCTCATTCCATATTTCATGTATATAACCCTGTCCTTTTATTCTGTTTTTAATCTCTCTATATACTATTAAAACTATTATGTCTGTAACCTTTAACTGGATAAAACAGTGCATCAAAGGGCAAAACCTGTTGAACTTCAAAATAGACTAACTAAGAGAAGACATCCAAAATCTAGGACCCATGACTCTTATGGAAGTAAAATTTGAATAATGTCATATAACATTTTATGACATAAAAATGATCATAAAACATTTTATGGCATAGTAAGTTGCATAAATGATTTTCTGTGGCCAACACTGGATATTTTCTAAAGCAGATTAATTATCTTCCTGAGTTTTCAAGAACTTTTCCAATGAAGGCAGTATATTAAAAGCTCTGTCATTATGGGGGGCATCAAGCAAAGGAAGGAGGGAGGGAGGGAGGGAGGGAGGGAGGGAGGGAGGAAGGAAGGAAGGAAGGAAGGAAGGAAGGAAGGAAGGAAGGAAGGAAGGAAGGAAGGAAGGAAGGAAGGAAGGAAGGTTGCTTTTTCAATGGTCACTGCCAAATTCATTGTGTTTCTTTGTTTAGGTAAGGAAATATCTCTGAAATAATAACCCAATAGGTTATAGATTGTTTAGTTCTGTATAAAATTGAATAGTTGGTTTCACTTCAAATGCAACTTTTCTAGCCCTAAGATTTTAGCTACTTCTAAAACTGCTGTACCATCTGGAATATATCTCATCTCGTCCATACATATGTCATTTCTCCATCTTCCCAAGCAACTGTTAGGGATTGCTGTGAGCAAAATGCCCACTTTAAATTAAAAACCAAACTGATTGGAATTCAGAGAAAGAATGTACACTTACTGGCACACAAAAAGTATAGTCATCTCTGGGCTGCTCTCTAAAGAACTGCAAAAAAAAAGTCTTAAGTAAAGTTCCTTGTTTACTTTTAGTGTATCCCCCAAAAAGAAAATATTGTAAATCATTGTACTTCATCTTTAAGTGGCACACTGCCTGGACTCCAAAAGTCCTCTATTAATGATGTCTGGAAGGGTCTAGGAAATGATCTTTTTCATTAGAGGCACTTACTCAGTCTCCCTCAGAGATCAAGAAGACTCCAAGACTCTTAGCCTCCTACAAGGGTTTGAAAGATTAGATCTTCCCCCAGACATCGGGCATTTTAATATTCTGTGTGGCTGTTGCTAGCCATCCAAGCTATATTGTATAAGATAGCTTCCCATATAAATCAAATAAATTGTACTGATGGAAGATGATGACTCAAAACTGAAGAAGCTTTGTGAAGGAGAAGTGAAATGTTTTCAAGAAAAAAAAAAAAGCAATGAAGTCCGGTTGCCTTTTGGAAAAGCACCTATGGGTCATTCTCCCATCCTTCCCATTTGCAATGCCCATTTGATTGCTTTGCCCACAGAAGATCATGAGATCTTGGCCCACATTCTCCAACTAAACTACCTCTGATCCTAAACGCTAAAGCTGTTGCACATAAAAAACGGAGGAGCTCTGATCAACTATCACAGCCACCATTTTGACAGTTTTGCTATACTGTTGTCTGTGGATGCCCCCACTAAATGCAAGCACGGGATAAACTGAGCCTGGTTTTTCTCAGTCTTTTAAGTGGCCACAAACTACTAGCAAAAGTGGCATTTGATCACAAGGCAAGGAAGCATTGAGAAATGTTTCCCCTTTTTCATTTGAGCATCCAAGAAGGGAAAGGAAAGGAGAAAGGGAAAGAGGAAAGACAAAGAAAAAGAAGGAAAGAGGGGAAGAGAGCAACAAAGGAAAAAGAAGGAAATAGGGGAAGGAAGAAGAAAGAACGGAGAATGAAGAGAGAAGGGAAAAAAGAAAAGGGAAAAGGAAGGAAGGAAGGAAGGAAGGAAGGAAGGAAGGAAGGAAGGAAGGAAGGAAGGAAGGAAGGAAGGAAGGAAGGAAGGAGATTATAATGAGAGGGAGGGAGGCTCTGAGAGAAGCCCTGCCTTAGCACCTGGTCATCAGCAGCCCTGCTGCCCTTTCGCCATCCCCTTGCCCCCTCCTCCTGGTAAGAAAGCTGTTATGTCCTGAGCCTGTGCAAGCAGGCTCGGGGCATTGCAAGCTGCCCGGGACCAGACAAGCTGTCGCCAGTACTTGTGCGCATGCGCAAGTGCTGGCGCGCCAAAAGTTGCAGATTGACCCGGGAATGGCCTATAAAAGAGGCCGGGAGTTCTGGGCGTTGTCGGCGTCTTGTACCTAGTATGCTGAACTGAAATAAAGAAGTTTCCTGAGAACTACCACTGCTTCTCGTGTCTTGCCATTTCGCGAAGGACGCAACAAAAGCTATTAAGTAGCTGATGGATAGAATAAAAAGTATACTAATTTAAACAAGAGACAGTATGTATTAAGGGAAAAAAGAGAGGAAATATTGGCTGCAATAGTTGGAGGTTTGTATTAATAATACCTGTATGTAATGGAACTATTGTAACTCAGACACCACGTTGCTTTTCAAAGATATAATTGTAACACTGGAAAATTAATAAAAAGTTATAAATAGAAAAAATAAAGTGTTCCTCAAAGAACAGTATTGGAAAAGAATTGAGATTTGTTCTAATACAGTTTGAATGAGAGAGAATTCCAATTGAACCAACTGAACAGAGAACCATTAACTCCATGCACTTTGTCTGCCCCCCCCCCCCCGCCACACCCATTTATTCTATGGATGGGTTTGCCTTACCCTTGGAGAATCAATTGCATGATATGGGGTGTTTCTTGGGCTCATAGTTTCTGTTCCATCAGCCACTGGAGGCTGTGGCTCATGTAGGTTTGGCCTACTTTGGCTGGTGCAACTGTTGGGGACTTACTTGAAAGACAGGACTAGACTTATTTACACTACTGCAATGTACATTCTATGGAAGTGCTTTCAAAGACCACCTGGAAACTTCAGTTAGGCTAAAATGCTGTCCATGAGTGCTTGCCAGTGGATGCACGTTCTACTGATTTTATGGATATTTCATTGGCTTCTTGCTATCCTCCATGCGCCTTTTAAAGACCTGCCTTTGATCTATAAAGCCATTCATATGGACACTCATAGGACACTCCAGCGCAGATCTCTTCATGCCATTTATTTTCGGTGAATCTCCTAGAATAGCCAATAGAGAAAGGATACATGCTCTATCTTGGCTTGGGCAGGCTATGTTCTTCTGATGTTTGAGTGGGAAAATCATCAGCAAGGATAATTAAAGCAAAAAGAAGTGATTGAGGGTGATGGGGACTGTGAAAGCAGAAATTATCCATTGTGAAGTAACATGGTATACAAAAGAACATAATGTATGTTGAAAATTTCAATTGTTTGTACTGAGAAAAATAACTGAAGAAGAACTTTGCTTAGTTTGTTTGCATTTCACTTTCTTTCTGGAACTAAATCCAGACTAGCAAATTACCAAAAAAATTGAAGTCCATTTCGTGGAACACTGTGGAAAGGGCTTTCCCTTCACTTCTTCTGACTCATATTTATGTTACAAAATTAACAACTTCAATGATTCACCTAACAATGGTTGCAAGAAAGTTTGCAAAATGGAGCAAAACTCAATTAACATGTCTCATTTAGCAACAGAAATTGGGAGACCTCCTCAAAGGTCTCATCCCCACCCAGAAAGGAAAGTTTGACAGAATGTGTTATATTTAGACACAACTCTTATAATTATTTTAATATCGTTTGTGGAAGTAACACCAACTCCAGAAACAATAACAAATCTTGTCAAAAATGAAACATGTCATCTCCCATAT